TTTTATTTTTTTTTTGATAATGAAAATGAAGAGAATTAGTAGAAATAGTGAATAAATAAGATGAATAATAAAATGATACAGATTATTAAATAAACAACATTAATATTCTTTTATAAATACAATGTTAAATATATTGAAATCAACAATATAAACATGTACAAATTAACATATTAATTAAAACATCTTCATATTCACATCTTCGTTCATGTATTATTCTTATTATGAAGTGAATGTTATTAAATTATATTGACCGTTTTTTCAATTTTATATTTAATTCATCTTTTCATCTATTTTAAATTGAAATCAAAGAAATTAAATTAAATGAGGAATGAAGAAATATTGAATGATTAATATGTTAAAAACACTTCATTTCAAAACAAATAATTAATAAACATGAAAATAGAATAAAATAAAAGAATAATAATAAAGAAAATAACAAGAAAGATAAAGAATGAGAATAAGGAATAAAAAGAAACAACATCTCAACACAACAACATCTTCACATTAATAAACACAATAAATGAGAATAATAAAATAAAGATAAACAACAATAAGAAAAATAAAAAGAATAATAAAATACAAAACATAAAAAGATAAAATAGAAATAAATAATGAAACAATAAGAAATGAAGAATATAAATAATAAATGAAGACATAGAAATGATAAAGAATAAGAGAATAATTAAAATAAATAGAATAATGAATGAAATGATAAATGAATGTGAATATTAAATGAAATATTTCGTATTTCATTAACAAACAAAAGAATAAATAATAAGAAAGAAAAGAACAAGAAAGAGAAATGAAAAAGAACTTCAATTATAATCATTTATCATTTATTTCTACTTCAAATTACTTTGTATTTCATTTATTGACTTTTATTTTAATGTTTTATTCTTCTTTAATTCTTCTTCAAATCAATAGCTATAAAAACATACAATTTAAAATGATGTAGCTGTTGATGGTATAATGATTGATGTTAATGATTTATATTAATAAAACAACCAATTTTAAATGACTTAACTTCGAGTGGTATTATATTTCTATATTTAATTCTATCATATTTTGTGTATTTAATGTTTTTAAATATTTTTTCCTTCTTCTTTCTCTTTTAAATATATTGAATAATCTACTAAATACCATATTACATTTTAAATATTTTTCCATCTTTAAATATTTCATTATATTCATTATAAATATGAAATGTTTCAATATTGAAATAATCTTCTTGAATAATGATTTAAAGGAATTGGATTAAAATGAAATCGTTCCATATTTCCTCTAAATCTTTTAACACCAATTTCTAAATTAATAAAATCATTAATTTCATTAAAATACTTTGATACTATCATTATTTCATTCTTGATTTATTGTTTCATAGTTATTAATTTTAAGACTTTGAATTGGAACATCATCAGTGAAATCGAGCATATTTTTATTTATTATTTATATGAATAATATGATATTGTTAAATATTAATATTATCATTGTTAAATGTTGTAAAATGAGTGTTGATTAATGAAAATTCAATAATTAATGTTATTCAATTGTTTTGAAAGATAAAAGAAATATAAAATAATATAATACTTTCTATTTTGATAACATATTTATTGTTATTTGATTTGAATAATTATGTAATGCTTGTAATTATGTTAATTTCATATTCTTCTTTTTATTTGTTATTTCATATTTTATAATCTCTTATTTTATATTTATTTGTATTTTATGTGGTATTACTTTATTTATATATTTTCTTTATTAATTAAGTGTATACTTTCAATATATTTAATTTATTTCATTTGAAATTTTGTTTAATTAAGACTGTTTTGATTGGTTTCAATTAATTTATTGTGTCTATTATTGTTTGTTTGTATAATTATGTTATTTATTTTATCAATTAATAAATGAAATAGATGAATGAAAGATATAAATTGATATTAAATTTATTGTTTTTTATTCATTCTATGTTATTCTTGTTATTATAATTACTATCATTTGATGTTATTTAATGTTGAATTGTTTCAAATTATCATAATAAATGTTATAATTTCATTCTTTCATTTAGTTTATTCTATTTCTATATTCTATTTTTGTTTCTTTATTCTTTATGTTTCATTATTTATTCATTCTATTATTTTATTTCTCATATAATATCTAGATTAATTATTTTCTTACTTCTATTATTTATTTGTTGTATTAATTTCTTCATTAAAATCATCACTTCAATATCATCTTTTAATTTTTCTTGATGTTTTTTGTAATGTCGTCATTTATATCATTTGTGTATCTTCAATATTAATGTTATTTCTATTTCTTGAAATATTTTATAACTAATCATTTCTTTTGTTTTATCAGTAAATGGTCAAATGAATACTAATGATATCACTTCTTTTATTCTTTTTCTTTCTATTTCTTGTATTCATTCTTGTTGTACTATATTAATATAATTTTATTCTTTTATTAACTTTTATTATATTTTTCTCATTATTTATAACTCTATCATAATTTATTTCTTATTTCTTATTTATCATATTCATTCAATTCTAAATATTCTTGTTA